AATGTATGTGTGTGTGTTATCGGTTATCGGTATCGGCCTTTAGGAGATGAAAGTTATCGGTATCGGTTTAAAAGAAAAGTTATCGTGCATCCCTAATAGCAATTGTTTTTGAACAATAATAACCCCACTCAATACATTAAAACCTAAAATTTCCAGAAGCAGGCTAAACTATTTACTTAGTAGATTTTAGTAGAAAAAATGTAAGCATTTGTTAGAAAAGTCAATCAATTAAATGTGGGACACATGGCCTTTAAAATGAAAGGTTCAGTATGGAGCAGAGAGAACAAAAAATAATTTGTCAATCTATGAACAATCTGTTAAAAGTAAATGTTATTTTTGACATTTCTTTTCATTACACCACAAACTTTGATTATAATGCCAACTGAACATAGCACACAACTGTCACACACATGCACAAGGAAGTGGAGGAGACAGTGACAACATTCTGAGTTTTACAAGCAGCATCTGTCTTCCTAAAATCTGTGGAAAATCTATGGAGTTCTGATAGCACAGATTTCATATGAGCCTGCTAATCAGACACAGTTCATAGAGTATGAGCTTGATGTCGACAAGAGTCAGAGTAAAAAATAGACTGTCCAGTGGGAGTGTGACATGATGCTGAGTCATTTAATTTCACATGCAGCCTTGAATTTAAGTGTACCTGTGTGAGGTAATTTCATATATTTTTCATGTGTTTTTATGTCAACGAGGCATCCTTTGTTTCTTCCTTTCACTATTTCTGGCTCTCAGACCACCAGCAAAACAACCTCCACTCAGCTTTACACCACATATCACTCACACTCACTGTCCATTTGTCATGACTGAATTGCTCTGCCCACCTCCTAGTCTCTACATGATTAGTGAGATATGAATCAGACATAGAGCCAAACAAGGTGGTGATGTTCTAAATAAAGCACCTGACCCACCAAGGACTGTGGGATAAGAATAGACTTGCATACTCACCAACACACAACAAACTGAGTGTTATTAATGTGCTTCAGCTGTGTATTCAAAGATCAAAACATGCTCACATGCACTGCAAACACATTCTGCTCCCAAAGTGAAGGCAGTTACTGACCTCTTCAGCTTTAAAAATAGTTAGTAGAATTTATTACTAATACTCACCATACTCAATAAACACACCTCATGTCCAGCAGTTATTTCCTGCTGTTTTATGTTCTGCTCATTTAACATTTTTGAACTGTCACTAGCTATATTTCATCAGACACAAATTGTTTCTTCTTTCTCCAACTAAATTGGTCTTAAATTTAGTATCAGGTCAAAAAGGCTGCTATTATTCCAGATTTTTCTTATTGCCAACAAGTCCAATGAAAGGACTGAAACTATCAATGTGAAGGTACATTTCTCAATATAATCGGACTTCCCCACTCTGTCCTTGGCCTTCAGCCTCATGCCCATTGGTTCTTACTGAAGATGTAAATCCTGGAGGGCAATAGGGCAACTATGATGTCTCTTTATACTGCCTTTGCTTTTTACACAGAACCAAACAACAGCGGCATCATGCCGCTCCAGTGTGTGATTTTAGACAGCATGCCGGCATCACGACATCAAGAGGCGTGACAGGCGTGAAATGTAATACAACAGTGTTGGCCTCAAGTGTGACATATAACAGATGGATCGGTAGCGCTCTCTAAACTATAACAATGGCATTAACATCGCAATAACAAACATTTACGGTCCCTGTTACATGACTGCTGATCTCGTCCTCTGCTTGGAGGGTAAGGAGCTCCTGGACCTCAATATTTCATCATTTATGGACATTTTCAGCTGCTGTTCTTTTTCTTTGACTTTGCTGTCAGCTACTTTATAAATCTCCCGTGGTGGGTCGCACACATAACACGTCATCAAAACGCCTCACCCGTGCCACCCATGAAGTCGTCCTGCTAGCTGTCCCGTTAATAGAGACATCGTTTCTGCGCTGTTACTACCTCTGATGCTGCCTTAAAGTTGAGACAACTTTTTCCCCCCATTCCATGGGGAGACAGAATGGTGAACGGTGAGGGGGCATAACAGTGTGAAAGTCCCACCTTCAAGAGGTAGTAGCCCCTTTTACACTGCATCTCCAAGATGCTGTTCACGCCATTATGGTGTCTAGCTGTTCTGTATAATAGGTACAATTGTGGACTGGGGGGGCAAAGTGGTCTCACCTTAGAATCAGCATCGGAAGTAGTAACAGTATCGAAATTATGTCTTTATAAACGGGACAGCCAGTAGGACAGGATCATGGATGACATGGGTGTGACATTTTGATGACGTGTTAAGTGTGTGACCCATCGTGGGAGATCTGAAAAGTAGCCTGTAGCAGTTAGCAGCCAACTTAAACAAAAGAACAGCGGCTGAAACTGTCTGCAAATTGTGAAAACAATGAGGTCCGGGAGCTCTTTACCCTCTGAGCACAGGACAAGATCAGCCGTCATATGACAGAAATGGTAAATAATTGTTTTGCCATGTTATTGTTAACAAAGTGCTGCTGACACATCTGTTGTATGTCACACTAAGGGCAGACGCTGTTGTCTTAAACATCATGTCTGTCACGCCTCTTTGATTTTGCGGTGCCGGCATGCTGTCCAAAATCCCACACTGGAACAACATGATGCCGCCATTGTTCAGTTATGTGTAAAAATGCAAAGGCATTATAAAGAAGAGATTTCATAGTGTCCTTAAAGTGTGATCACTGTGTAAAAGGGGCTATTGTTTTTGATCTTCCCCTCTTCCTTTGTTAATAACCTGCAGTCAGACACTGCTTTATAGTTCCTCTATCTCCCTTCTGTCCTGTTTGCATATGTAAACAGCCTTAAGCTAAACTGTTCTCTTTCCTCTCTGTTCCCTTTGTCATTGCACTCACTCTTTTTTTTTTGTCTCTCTTGCTGTTCTGTCTCATCGTCCTCTGGCTGATCATGCTGACATCTTTACTCACTCCCTCTGCTGACCTTTTACAGTCTCTCCATAGCAATATCTGTTTTCTGCTTGCCTAATTAGTTGACAATTGAAACGGGAAGAACCAGGCTTTTCTTCACTACAGGAGGTGTCCCTTGCAATTTAGTAGCATCAGCCCCACTATTAAAGAGCTTCTGTATCACAGCCTTGTTTATCCTCTGAGCCCTGTTTGTCCTATATTGATTGGAGTTGAGGAAGAGGATAGATGGAGGGCAGTGTGTGCTTGGGGAGTTGGAGAGAAAATAAGATGTCTGGAGCAAGATGATCATTGTTAATAAAGCAAGAAATTGGTGGATGGACAAACAAGGTAATGTGAGGAAATGGGGAAGATGAATGAGGAGTATCAGAAGTGACAAATTATAAAAAAGAAAGAGGCTGGAACTCTTTAGCTACTTGGTAGAAAACAGGTCAGTGGAGTGGCAACTGACTTAAGTTCAAGTCTCTGTCCTTAAAAAAGCACCTGTTCACTGACCTATAAATTCTTTATCTCTCTTTTTAACAAGGAAGCAACAGAGCACAGCATTCTTCTCCATCCTAAACCTTGGCTGGGATCAATAAAGCTTTTAGCAACCAGGAGAAAAATAGAAACCCTCTATCATGGGATACTGTATCATATGTCTTCTTGATCTGTGTTTAGTGTGTGGAGAAGGACAGCATGTGACCATGTTTATATTTTTGATTTGAAGGAATAAACAAAGCGACTCCTCTCTGGCTCTTTGTCTGGACTAGTCTTTGCCTCACGTGTCCTCCTCCTCTCTCCCTTGTAGACCCTCCCAGGCTTTTACATCATTACATAATACTGGTTTCCAACTGGTGCCACTCTCTAATGGCCATTTTCTTCACTCCTCCTCTTTTTTTGCATTCTACACGTAAGTAAAGGTCCTCTGCGGGTGACTCGGTCATGACTCAATGTTTGAGAACATTCTGTCTCTTCTGGAATAACAAAAGAATGCAAATGAGCTGTGCCTCTCTGCACTTCCCCTTCTGTGTCTGCTGAACACAGAAGACGTCCCTTGCACGTGCTATTAGCTGCCCCTGCCTCTAGCCCTGCCCCCAGCAGCATGAGCTTTAAGTTGATTGGTGCTGCCTTTGTGTTTACATGGAGGCCCCCCCCTTTTTTCCACTGCCCTCATGATCGGCCGGGCTAAACTTAACTTCCTCAACCTCCTTTTACACAGCAAGTGATCAAAGAACATGAAGCCATAGAGGCAAACTTCCTACATTTTACTCTTGTCCTTCTTTATGTTTTATTTATTACATAAGCAGTAGCTGGAGTTTTAAGTTATTATGGGTGTTGACACCCCTGAAGATGCCCTGCAGATATGGAAGCAGAAGCACTTTCGTGCGGACTGGCTAACTGCCTTCATCTCCCCATTCTGTCCCTCCAGGCAGCTGCAGCCTATCCCCGGACAGACCCCGATGGTATCCCCACGGGCTGAGACCACCCCAATCCCTGTTCCTACCCAGATCCGTAACTACCAGCGCATCAAGCAAAATCTGTCTAGCAGCCCGACAACCACGCTGTACAGCTCCCCCAGGTAAGAACAGTTTGTGCTCTTAGTGCTGGATAGTTCTGACTTAACTTTTATTATATATACCTGTTTAGTGATTAGTAATGAAACGGAATGGGCACTTATTTGTTAACCTTATGTCGTGTTACTAATATTATTCTCAACACTTGGGAGTGAACTTTCTGACTAGGTAATGAAAGCCCAGGCTGTTATTTCATCAGCCAAGTTTCACTGAAATTACATCAGATACAGTACATACCTGCCAGAGTTGGTGGCTCCTCACCCTGTTGCTGGGAGGGTTTGTTGGTGGTTTTATGTAAAGATAAAGCAGATGGGAGGGCAGAGGAAGAAAGAAGAGTGGCACCTTGTTACACAGGAAAATTAGTTCTGTTGCGCCTGTTACCAGTCTATTGTCTGAAACAGAGAATACTAGGGCTACTGTAGGCTTTAATCAGCTGTAAATGTGTTCATTATTTAAAGGTTGTATTGTGTTGGCGTCTGTGTGGGCTTGTGTTTGTCTGGTAATTTAATTGTTTTATCATTAAATTCCTCCTGTGGTGATTGTAGCCATGGAAATAAGGATTTGCATAATGTTTCTGGAGTAGCAGCTCGTTTAATAGAGGATTGAGTCCTAATACCTGGATATGAGTTAATTTTAGCACTGCTGGTTCCACTGTCTCAGAGTCAATGTGTTTTTGGTTAGATGCCTGAAATAAAGTCTGTGGTCAACATAAGCTAAAGAGACTTTAATGTTTTATTCTATGACATAAAATATGACAGTAAATCCCCCTCTGTGAATTTTAAATCTTTATGTGCTTTAAAAAAGGGGGTTGCTAACAAGTGGCAAAATGAGACTATGGAACATGCTGAGCATGTCTTTACTGCCTAGTAGTGGTAGGGATGTTAAACCATGGGGGCTGTAAACGCATAATCATCCACAGTGAGATGTTAGATGAAGAGCTGCAGACAACAGGCTTCATTAATTATTTTGATTAGTTCAGTGTTGATTGAGACAAAGCATTTTCGTCATGGCTCTGAAACCGGAATGAATTCTATGTATATGTTATGAGTGTTTGTGTTTTCTAGGTCTGCCACTGTGAGGCGCTCCAACACTAGTCCTATGGGGTTTCCCAAGGTGGGCTCGGGGTCCCCCAGCTCTGCAGATATCCCTCAGCCAGTAGGCAGACGTCTCTCCACTGGCAGCTCCCGTCCCTACTCCCCTTCACCTCTTGGTAAGGGCATGTCTAGACATCTTTTTAATAACACCTTCCAGACATGCAGTAAACATGTCCAGCAGCTCACAATGAAAATAACTTTGTTTGCAGTGGGCACTATCCCTGAGCAGCTGGGTCACTGCTGCTGTCACCTGCAGAACCATGAGCCTCGCAGCCGCAGCTCCTCGGGAGGTCAGTTCACAGGCAAAACTTCAGCTGTCCCTACATAGCCCGGTGACTGGGTTAACCCACAGCAAACTGTGCCAACTTGTTCACTTAGATAAGATTTAAGTTTTATGGTCCTGTAGGTGAATGTGGGTTGTTGAAACAGCAAATGGTTTAAGGTATTAAAGCATAGACAATTAATGTCAAAGCTGGAGTGCATATGGATGCAAAGCGTAGGTTATAGTTTGCAAAAGAAGTTAAACTGAACAGGACACAAATCCATATAGCCCCTTGCCAAAAAGCCAGTACAGAAATACCACACAGTATAATATGATATGCATTGGCATTTACAATAGTCAGTATTAGCATTAACTGCAGTTAGTTGTTTTGATTCTCTCTTGTGTGTCATGACTTTATCATTGACAAAGCACATGAGTCATAAGGAGTCAAGGTTTTTCTAAAAGTGTCTGACGCTGCTGTTATATTAAGACTAGAAATGTCTTAGATCTTCTTGGCTGTTTGTGTCAAGAGGTTTGCGATCATAGTGACCATTTTATTAAAAGATGGGTAGTGTACTGTCGGTAGAGTCTTGTCTTTTGTACTGTAGCTGGTTGGGTAGAAACTGTGATGGAGCAAAGCTCATAAAAGTTTTTTCTCCCATATAGAGAGAGGGTTAGAGCTGAAGACTGCCTTAAGCTGAGAGACAAATGAGACACGCAAGCCCTTTTTACACTGCCTGTTCAAGGCGAAGTATCACGCTGTTATGCCGCCTCGCTGTTCTGTATTAAAGATACAATTGTGAAATGAGGGGATGGATAGGTCTGGCCTCTGTAGCAACAGCACCAAAACGATGTCTGTATAAATACGACAGCCAGCAGGACGGCAGCACATATGTGATGTTTTGACAACGTGTTATGCATGCAAGCCACCGCGGGAGATTTAAAAAGTAGCTGCCAGCTGTTAGCAGCTAACTCAAAAAAAAAGAACAACTGAAAATATTTGTAAATAGGGAAAACGGTGAGGTCTAGGAGGGTCTTACCCTCTGAGCAGAGCACAAGATCAGCCGCCATATAACAGGGTAGGTAAATGATTATTACTGACATGTTATGCCATTGTTATTGTTTATAAGGTGCTGCTGACGTGTGTGTTGTATATCGCACGAGAGGCTGACACTGTTGTGTTACACGTCATGCTTGTCACTTTTTTTTTTTTTTAAGATATTTTTTTGGGCAGTTTTAGCCTTTATTTGATAGGACAGACAAGTGTGAAAGGGGAGAGAGAGAGGGAGTGACATGCAGCAAAGGGCCACAGGCTGGAGTCGAACCCGGGCCGCTGCGACAACAGCCTTGTACATGGGGCGCCTGCTCTACCACTAAGCCACCAATGCCCCACGCTTGTCACTTTTGACTATGTGATGCCAGCATGCTATCTAAAATCACACACTGGAGCAGTATAATGCCGCTGTCGTTTGGTTCTGGGTAAAAATGCAAAGGCAGCATAAAGAGGGGACTTTTTAGTGGTCCTATAGGGCGATGTCTATATAAAAAGGGCTGAAGTTATGTCTCCTCTGACTTGCCAGAGAGAATGCACAAAGATACACTGCCCTTGATTGATCTGAATGGATATTACACAAGTTGCTTGTCATACCGCTGTATATGACATGGCTCATCAACTTGAACTGAACTCTTATCAAGCCCCTCTACGTTTTCAAGGTTCCCCTGTCCCATCCTCTCAACTCCTGGGGGCTCGGCTTCAGAGTGCCCCCACCCTGACTGAGGTCTACCAGACCAGGCAGAAACTCCATAAGCAGTTGTCAGACCCTGTTCAGCCCTCCTCCTCCTCCTCCTCCTCCTCCTGCAGTCATTCCCCTCAGCTCGGGCGGCCAGTAAACCTTGGCTCCTCCCCCACCAAGCTCCTGGGCTCCTCCCCCCGCACATCTGACTGGCTGCAGAAGTCCCCACTGCCCACCATCATTGGCTCCCCGACAAAGGTGAAGTGAAGATATTAAGCGTGCAGATACCAAATAAACTTAAATATCAGTTGTTAAAATTTCCCTGTTATTTGTTTTTTTTCCATTCAGGCCATTTCGGCGCCATTCAAGATCCCTAAAACACAGGCGTCCTGTAACCTGATGGCACTGGCTGATAGCCCTGTGCCAACCAAGACATTGGCAGATGCCCGGGATATCTGTGCCCACCACTGCAGCCCATACCTCACCGGACGCCCAGCTGCCCCTGAGGCCAGCAGGACCTTCGGCAGGTAGGACTCACTGAAAGGAACACATCCTCTGTCTGTTCTCTTTACTTGCCCAGATCTACAGTCTCCCATTACTTTTGTTTTGCACCCATCTCAGCTTCCACCTCAACTGTCACACTGATAAATGAATGTCCATTGATAGCTATTAGGTCTGGTCCAGTCATTGTGCTTCATTACCATTATGATGGACATGATGCTATTCAGTATACATATACTATTTATTGTACAGTTGATAAGTAAGATATCACTTATCAATCTGATTGAAATCTAATGTTAAACTTTGGACTAGATACAGGAGTTCCTGGAAATGTCTTTTTATTTACCTACTTGCTTCTTTATCTATTTTGTCGGTTTACATGGAGTGTTTTAGTTTCACACTGGTTAAGTTTTGTTTCACGTGCATTTCTTTAAAGACACGTCTAGATCTAACAGTGACTGCTTCTAAATGGTTGTACTTCCCCAACATAAAGATCAGAGAGATTTGCAGAAAAGAACAGTTTTAATTTCCAGGTTGTAATCAGTTGAGACCTGTGATACGTCACCCATGTCATGTATTTACATGTTTTTCAAGGAACAGGCACTAGGACTTTGTATAACTTTGATCCCCCTCTGTCTAGCCCATATCATGTGACGTCATTTTGTCTATTGTTTAACAACGTGCTGACGTTATCCGTGGTTTCCCATTAGGTCTGTTAGTACAGGTCGTCTATCTGAGCAGCCAATCAGAATCACTCTGGGTGGACAGGCCTATCAGGGCAGCACTGACAGCTTGAATGCAGAGCGACCCATGGACACAGGTATGGGTGCACTGCTGCACACTCAATGGACAGTTACTACAGGTTTTCTTGGTTCAAGCATTTAGTCAATATGAAATTACTAATGTCTCGTCTGTGTTCTTACATTTAAAAAGATCTGTATAAGGGTCAAAGACGAATAAGGATTTGAAAATTGAAAATAAATCAAATTGGCTAAAAATGCCAATTTAGGCACTTTCTATCTTTATTAGAGTGTTCTGTATATAACTCAACAAAAATAATTCATTTTAAAAATGCAGTTAACATTTTTCAGTCAATCATATGGATAATTCCATGGAAAATGTCCTTCCTGGGTAACGGGAATGGAATTGAAAATTAATTAAAATGTCTACCATTGTTGGCATATAAAAGTTTATAGATAACAATAGTTAGAGCTCAACAAACAATTACTGCTCAGAAGACAACATTTTCATCACAATTAATGTAATATATTTGGATATTTATACTGAAATGGGTTCATTAGTTGCTGTTGATCACACAGTATTCCATGCCAAAAAGAGAAAAAAAGATGGAAAATGTCTTAAAATGTTTTATAGTAAAGGTAAAAGGGTTGTTATTGTATCCTCAACTCAAGAAACATGATTGAGTAATATAACATGAAAATCTGGGTTAAATTACTTGACTGTGTCATTGTTACCTGGAATGACATACTGCAAGATTTCAAAGTAATTATCATTAAAGGCTGTCTCAGGAATATCATTTTTTCAACAAACATACATAATACAAAGAGACTGACAGCTGTTAAAGATCTGAAAAGATGTTTTTTAATCTTTCATTTCATGCAACAGTGTAACTCATATATCAAGTAATGCAATGATGTTCCCGGGTCAAATTGACCCGGTGGATATTTAACCATCTGAAAGTAGTTTAAAACTAGAAAAGCACTCAGAGAGTGCAGACCTCCGCCAAGTAGGTGATATTCCCTCCCCCTCTGCATCAGATTTTGCAGCCTGCATCACAATTATGTTTCTTTGCATCACTATCATTATTAGGTTATATATGCCTTCACCATGGAGACACTGTGGTGTATTTACTTCGTTTTTAAACTTCGTTTTGTCTTTTTTCCAACACAGAACATTAATTTCAACTTTAGAATTTAACAATATTTAGCAAGCAGAACAAGACGTGCTTTCTGGCCACCAGATGGCGCTATTTTCACCGTCTTAATTGCTGCTGAGGCTGTCAGACCATAGACGTTATTTATTATTTTATCCACTTTGCTTCAACCGATCACCACCAAAATTTTATCATCTGTTCCTTGTCCCATTATCCACCTTTCCTGCAAATTTCGTCAAAATTCGTATTTAACTTTTTTGAGTTATTTTGCAGACAAACAAACAAACAAACAAACAGACAAACAGAACAACGCCGGCGGAAACATAACCTCCTTGGCGGAGGTAAATATATTTTTCTCTATAAACATTATCGTTAGCTCAATTGACATTAATGTAATCATTATTTAATGTAATCAAGTGTTTCACCCCTTACAGATCATGGTTTACTTATGAGAATTCACTCGTTTTTCATTAAAAAATAACTTTCAAACTGATTTCTTTTAGTACACTGGCAAAAATGAGGCATTCAATATTCTATCTGGACATTTTTTGATATGAATGTTTCTCTTGGAGTTGATGGTCTGAAAATTCATCGTCATGATCAGAGTTGATCTCAAGATCATCTTCATTTTCAGACAATTCCTCCTCAACTTCACTATCCTGATCAATGATGTTCCAGAGCCTCCTGGGCTGTCAGTCTCTTCTCTTGTGTCTCGATTTGCAAGAAATGTGATATTTTTACCCTTCCTCCATTATCACTGTCGTGTCAGTAGTCATTTTCATTTACATGTTCATTACACTAATCAAGTCCAGCAGAAACAGTTTCATGCTCCAAAACTCAATAAAAACATGTTTTCTGTGTTCTTAAACATTGAAATGGGTCAATTTGACCCACAACATAACAGGAGGATTAACTAAAACATCTAAGCCTTTTGCAATGTGTGTAAACCTATTTTGATATTTTTTTCCTTTTTACTGATCTGCCTTCACTAAATCACAATACCTTGCTCTCTTTTCCTCAAGATACTCAGCCCTAGCTTGTGGATCAGCATTCTTCCTAGTCTCTGCCTCTCTTTATCAGACAGTGGCATCTGGAAGAACAAAACTTACCCTGAAACATCAAAACTGTACTAAAACCTTATTAAAAACATAAATATTAGATTATAGCATTATTATTGGTTCATTTTTGGACTATAAATTCACAAAAATCTATGATAATGGCCTGTGTTCATTGAATCAGATAAGTTCAAGATAAATAACAGAAAATGCCATAAAAGTTAAAAAAAAATACATAATATTGTTATTAATATAATATAACAATATCAAGTCAATGCCTAAAAAGCTACAGATACTAATACAAATCTGCATTGGTAAACATATCCACTCTAGATAACAGAGGACATGTCCTGGGTAACAGAAGATCTTTGTTATCCAGGGAGGATATATCGTTATCCAGGAAGGACAAAAAAACAATTTTCCCTTTATAATCAGGCTTTAACTAGGCCTACTGTGGAAAACTATAACTTAAACTTCAACGCATCAGTGTAATATTTCACATGAAATAGGTGGTTTTTAAATATATAAACATCATAAATGTTTTATTAGCGTTATCCAGAAAGACACATGATTTGAGGACATATCGCACCAGTGACCAAAAAGGTCAAAATATCAACATTTTAAGAGAGACTTTTTGACCTTGTAATGTGTTTTGGGGGTCCTTCAGAATCTTCTGGCTGATGCAACAGTCTGTCACATGACTATCCAGATCCAAATATGGTAATATATAGCCACTATAGTCTGTTACCCAGGAAGGACATTATGGAAATCCAAATATGGAGACAAAAGTATTTCTTGCGTTAAAATGTAAATAAGCTTAGCATTATTACTATATTTGCATATGTCATTGCAAACATTAACACAATTATGCCCCAGTAGATAATTAATCCTTTTATTAAGATTTCTGACATTTTTTGCATATTTTTGTACTTAGATTTAAGCGGGGACGTTACCCAGGAAGGACAATTTGGTACTTTTGAGCTCAATAGCTCCTTAAATTTTCATTTCTTATAGTGAATACTCATATGAGTAAGTAAAGAGGGGAGAGTTGAGAAACATAATGTAGTGTTTTGAAATATTTATATATTTTTAACATTATAAATATGCTTTGGACACCAGAATTGACATGCCACATCTTTGACCCAT